TTGATATTTATGTCTCTTTTTACAATTATGATAAGTTAGTTTATTTTTTTTAAAATTGTTTTTATAGTTATCCTTACTATTATATTGTTATCATTGTAATTATTATTATTATTGCAATTATTATTAAATAATATCATTTTCATTTCTTTATTATTATTATTATTGTCATTGATCTTACGATTTTTATCTTTGATTGTCATTTTTTTGCATAATTTTTCAGTTTATTTTTAAGGGATAAATTGAGAAGGAAAAAATTTTCTGTACTAACTCATTTTTGAGTGATTTTAATAAATTATATCAAATCAGTTTTTTTTTTCTAAAATACAATAGAGAATTTCTAACATAGTCATACCTAATACATTTAGTAATAAATAATAAAATTGTTGGTAGGAATGTTAATAAAATTGTTGGTAGGAATATTAATAAATTTTATTAATCCAACAAATTAGAGCTAAGTAATAGAATGATTGTCTGCATATTCTAATTATAAGATATTGCTTAGAATTATTTTCAAACTAAGTGCTAGTCTTTCATAGATAAATTGCTATTTTCTGAATTCTGTGTAGCTTTTAATTCACTTATTTATTAATGGTATCAAAATAAGTTCTGCCTCAAATACTTTCAATATAATAAATATAAAGCATCGAAGTGCGATAAATTATGCAAAAATGTGACTTATTTTATCTCGACAAAGTATTCAAATATCTAAAAATAATGCTAGATTTTTAAAAACTGCTTGATTTTTCAATATAAAGAAACCTCTAAAAACTCTTTCAAATGCCCACTTTGTAGTGTTATTAAGTTTTTATATATTTCTTTGTTATTTTACATGATTGAAAGTTCTTTAAATTTTTTAATATTTTTTATCAAATAGGCATGAGTTTTGTTGCTTTTTTTCGCTTTTTTCCACTGAATTATATTCATTTTTTGATATAATTTCTGTACTTCAACTAAAAAAATTAACAAAGATTGTCAGTACTTTGAAATTTTCAGTTTTCTCACACAATTACTGAATGTATAAAAATATTTTTCTTGTAAAAAAAAATAAAAAATTAATATATCTAATGCAAATTTATTTTTCTGATTATGCAAAAATAAAAAAATATTAAAAAAATTTTTTCACTTCACTTCATCTCTTTTTGTGATTATTTTTTTCAATTATTACATACTTGTATTTCAGAAAAGTGCAAGTGTAAGATGTAAATGTGTTCTAATGTTTGCTCATAATTTATACTGAAAATAAGCAACTAATTTGAAGTAGACAAATTTTGTATGAAAGTCAAAAAGTTTATTTGAATAAATAATTTCAGGACTAGTGCTATTGCTTTGTTATTTTATATCAGTTGCTATTTGAGCCCTAGTTATATAAATTATAGTTCTAAGTTGTAAACTAGGCTGTACACATAATTTTTGCAATTTTGCAATAGTCTTTATGAATTCTATCATTAGAATTGTTTTTTTTAACAAATTCTCCTAAAAATTTACATAAAATAAGCAATGGTCTTTTAGTACGAAATCAAAAATTCATCGACATTACATTCATTAAATTATTTATCCTTTATCAATCATTTACAATAAAAATTTCCATCCGTAAGTTCTAAATTTAATCCTGGTAATTATATCAAATACTTTATTTTCAAAACATATCTTCTACAATTTTCATTTTTCTTTTGTGTTATAAATTATTGACATAATTTATTTTTGGTATATAATTTCTGCTGAAATATTTTTTATTCTTCTGAAACTAAAATAAGTTTCGTACTGAATGTATAATTTAGTGATGAGAATCGTTGATTAGCTTTTATTATGTTTGTTAACTTCAGAAGTCAAGCAAAGTATAGTGTAAAATGAAGAGATTCTCAAATACACACGATATCAAATGGACTAAGTGTGTAACTTGAAATATATCCAAAATAGCAAATAAAATGAACTGCGTTAGAAGTAAACTAATGTTAAATTTTAATTTTGACTGTAAGTAAAGATCACGTTACAGTAATGATAAAAATGAATTCAAATTTAGCATTCACAATCAGTTCTAAAAACAAACTAAAAAATAAACTAAAAATTGACTGAATTAATAATTTAATGACTGATTATAATTGCGGAAAAGTTAAGTTCTAGATAATTTTTAACAATTAAAAAAGATCGCTAATAATAATAGGACATTCCAGATTTACAGTAATTTGAAGAAACTATTGCAGCATTACACATATCACAAATGAATAAGTAAATCTTAATTAATAACTATAAAATTTATTACATTTTAAATGTTTTTGTTGTATTTGAATACAATAAAGAAATGATTAATCTTTAAGGAAAAATGTAATCTTGCTTATTTTTGTGCCAAAAAATATTTAAATATGAAATCTTTGTGAAGAAAAAATGTTTTGCCATATATTTGATTAAAGTATTTAAGTAAGTCAGTATAACCTCTAAATTTGTGCATATTTTGACCAATAACCAAAAAACAAATCCAAACTAATAATAAAGACTGTCAAAATCAAGTGTGATCACACTACTGGTCATAATTATCTATGGTTGATTATGGTTAATCACATGAAGTCAGAAAGCATAAATGTTCATTGAATTTTATATTTGAAAATGAAGTTTTGATTTATGAATATTTAAAT